CTCGAGGAGCTTAAAGTACTTTAAGCCACGTTCATGCACCTCCGCCACACCGAAGGCACACAAACCTCATGGCTTTTTCTTTAAAAGATGGAAAACAGATTTGCGATCTCCCTCGCGCCTCTTTGTTCTCTTGCGTTTCTTTCCACCGCCCCCTGCCCTACCTCTGGTAGGCTCAAGCGACGGCAAGGGGGATTGTCTTGAATTCAAAAATATTGTGCGAAATTGACGATTTGCTGTACTTCGAAGCAGTTTCATTTCGGCGATGGCTGCTAATCCACTATTGATGTAGGTCCTAGCCGTCTTAACGGCTTGCCAACGCCCATAGATCATGAGGCGATCCAAGTTGCCCCACTTTTGGAAAAGATGGGTCGCCCCCCCCCCGTCTAAGGGAGTAGGGTCTAAAACCAAGTTCTGCATACCCTAAAGCTTCTACCGTGGCATTAAACCATTTTCTCCACTTCGCAGGAGATGGACATAGTTGCTCACGAGGCTTGCTGTTTGACACCCAGGCATAGAGCCAGCGCAGAGGCTCTTCGGCCGTCATTGTGACGCTTTCCATAGCGCCCTGTCTTTTGCCCCCTTTTGTCAAGCCCAGTGATATCACTCCCGGGCCATGGACGGTGTGTATGCTAACATCAGAAGAACGGAGGTTCAAAAGTTCTCCCGTCCGCAAGGTGCCATAAAACCCCACGAGGAGGGACAACGCGAAAAAATACTGCTCTTTGAAAATGGCATACCCGACCATGGTCTGCAGGGCCTCCTCGGGAAGGGGTGGTGCCCTGTTGGGCACCTCATTCATGGACCAGGCCTTGAGGAGCCTCCAGGTTCCCCGGAGAGCTCCCTTGACCTGTGGCTGTGCGTCTTGCAAGGCAGCAACTGTATCACTTGCTTGCGCACGCCCATAGCCCTCGCTCCACAAATGTTCTATGTAGACCTGCAGTAGCACATCAATACCGGCATGTGTGTTTGGGATGACTCTGTTCTCAGCTCGCAGGAACGGCCAGAAACCTTCGAGCGCCTTGTTGTATCGCTCCCGCGTCCGGGGTTGGACTGTTAATGACTGTAGGGTTCCCAACTCGGCACGTTGCTTTTTACGCTCCTCCCGACTGCCTCCTTCAAGATGTGCACGCCTTACTTTCGCCATGTCCGGCGGATGGGTCTCCGGCTGGGTGCATCAGCCGGGTTTTGGGAGGTATGCACATATGCCCAGAGGGCATGTGTTCCGGAGGCTAGGAGAAGCGCGTTTATCTTAAGCAAGGTGCGTCGTAGTTTGCGGCTGCTGGATCGGCCGCGAGCTAGGCTATGTAAGCAAACCAGGGAATCTACGAGGTGGACAAATCTCTGTTGAAGCCATCCCTTTTTGCCAATCCGCCATCGGAGGGTGGTATACACTGCTCGCAACTCCAGGCTGTTGATGTGCTCCTTTGACCCCTGCCACTGCCATCCACAAATTGTTCGCCACTTCCAGAGGTTAGCTGGAAGACTGGCGCGAAGACGGTGATAGCGCACCGGGTCTTCACTCTGCACTTGCAGGAGAATGTCCTCTCCCTTGAGACTAAGCAGCCCTGAAATCTTGCGCACGAGCTCCTCAGGATTCTCTGCCGCCACCCCATCACGTGGTCTCCGCATAAAAGGCCGCAGGAGGAACGTCTGTAACATGTGTCCACCACCCGGGCTGCACTGTTGCACAACCTCCCGTAGGCTCAAACGGGGTCCCAGCCCGAGAACCAAGGAGAGCTGGCTCAGAAGCCAGGCCACCACAAAAACGTTCCAACTATTGCCAATCAGCGTAAGCCGTTCATCTTGCCATGCCTCGGAGTTCTGCTCATGCTTGGGGTAGCATTGTACGGTGTAACCCCTAGGAAAACCCATCAGCACCTCTTTCTCTTCACAAGTGAGAAGACGACTGTTGTGTTGTTTGTCCTCAACCCGGAACTTATGGAGATACTGGTACGGCGGAAACCTGCGCAGATCTGTGGCCCAGTCTTGTCGGGTCTGTTCATCACATTGATGTAGTCCTGCGGGCTTGCGCCCCGGCGTCCGTCGTGGCCGTGACGTAGTAAAGGTGGGGAAAGGCTCCTCGGAAGTCTTCCGCCATCCTGGCTCTAAGAACTGATTGACATCAAGCGGGCAGGTCAGTTCTATTTGGCCCATGGCGCCCCACCCCTTGTTGCGGGCCGAGGAGATGCGGACTCCTTCACCTTCAAGCACCTCCCATGACGGCCAGAAAAGCCGTGGTCGTCGAGCTCCACAGATATGCACAGGGTCAATCAGCCAGGGGAGGTCCCCAACCGATTCGCTCATTATACTTCGGTCTGCCTCATCCATGGAAGCCACGGATTCCATGAGTCGGTGCACCTGCGCCCAAGGGAATGCCCTACGAAGAAGGTTGTGAACCCGGTTGACGTGGGAAAATAGGCAGCTCCTTTCATCTCGAAGTGCACCACGTCGATCTGCATTGAGCCCAGAGACCCCCTGACAGGGGGGTCCCGCTCCCAGGATGACAATGGCTACTTGCGAGAAACGACACCCATTCGTGCACCATTGCAGCATCGACCTGCTCCACCTCCTCCACAAATAAGCTGTTGGGAAAGCGGCTTTCCACCACTCTTCGGGCTGGTGGATGCCTTTCCACGCTGATATGACCTACCACAGGCAAACCTATGGCATCAGCAGCCACCCTCAGGGCGCCCAAACCATCAAACAGCCCCACTGTAAGGACGCAGCGCAGGTCATAGGATTCAACGATGTCGCCCCTGACTTGGCAGTTGGCTGCCATACACCCTACGGGGGTTAAACCCGAGGAGGCCGTCACTCCGCCTCCCGTTGAGGATGCATCACTGGCTGTGACCGTCCCTGAGAAAGGAGTCCTAAAGTCCATTCGCGCCAGAGGGGTCAGGAGACAAAACCGGGCTATCTCCCCCTTGACCTGGGTCGGAATGGTCTGTCGGTATTTTTGGTGGTCGTCGAAGCTTTGGATGAACTCCCAAATCCCATTTAAGGTTCCAAGCAGGGGCCTACGAAACATAGCCATGTAAACCAAACCTCCTGCCACGACTTGCATCTGCCGCTGGGTGCTAGCTCCTTCCTCCAGCATCAACAAACTCAGCTGTATATATCGCGTGATCTTTTCAGGACGGGGGATAGCCGTCCCTGCCACCCCGTCGACAAGAGCACCTTGAACATCCGCCCTGACCTGCCGTTCTACAGCCTTCTTGGGGTGACGTGGGATTTCCATCTCCTGATAGGTGTTGCGCAAACTGTCAACCAGGGGTGTCGTGGATCCTTTGATCCGTGCTGCCAGGTCCGACTCCACACGCTCAAGCTGGTCGAAGTTGTCCAAGTAAACCCTGTACAAAGGGTTGGAGACGGTCAACGCCCTATCCTTCCGAAGTTCGGCCTCCCATCCTCCGGGAAACCCAAGCCGACGGGCCTCTCGAAGGGCCCTTCCTACGACCACCCGGTGTATGTGTTGTGCCAAGGCCACACTATTGCTGAACCCCATCGGCAGCACCAACGAGGTGAGGTAGTAGGGCTCCGCCTCATCCGGACAAAGTCTGGCTGGAACTCGCTTTGCAAAACCAAGAAAAGGTCGCCACTCTTGCGGTACTTTGAACAGGTAAAAGAAACACCGCACATCTTCACTGCTTATGAGCAGGGTTTCACCTGGCTGAATGTAGAACCCGTTCATATTGGGCCAGGCCGGAAGGGTCGACACGTCCCCTGTAATGCTCGTGCAGAGGCGGTTGAGTGGCACCAAATTCATGATTAGCCGGTGAACTGGCTGACCTTGGTGGGTCTCCTCCTTCAAAACTCCAAAAAGTCCATTTAGGAGTGGACGACCCTGCACGTGGTGCAGCTGGCTTTCCGCCATCAGTCCACAGACCCCCTTCGCGAGGAGACCTTCGCACATGGCCTCCCAATCGCAGTCTGCCACCATGACTTTTGGGGGCTTGGTGTAAACTTGGGCTTCAGGGGGTACCAGGTAACGTTCGAAGTGTAGCACGTAGTCCTTGCAACCTCCCTCAACTACATCCTCCAGCGCTACCGTACCCACTTCACTAGGCAACGCGGGAGAGACGCAACTCCATGTTGTCTGTTGAGCTGTCTTCACTTCGTCACCTTTGTAGTCAATACTCCTTACTCTAAAGAAATCCTCCCAACTGAGCGTCTCAAATGTCCCAGTCTTTTCAATGAAACTCTTTGCCTCTTGAATCAAATACCCAAAAATACGTACATGCAGTTGTGAAACTTTTTGACTTGGCGCCTCAATACAATCAAAAAGGTTGTTGAGTCCAATAACAATACCTCTCACCACCTCGCATACCTCGTCGTCTATTTCGGAAAAGGGGGGCCTTCCCAGAGCAGAGTCGATGGGGAGGGGAAAAACCTCCCCAGAGGGCATGGTCTTGCGAAGAAAAAAGGACAATTCCCCAGTCAGGTCCCGCACCGAGTCCGAAAAACGACGTCCGCTCCATCCCTGCACTCTTTTTGACGCGACCAAGTCGAGGTCGGGTTTGCAGCAGTCGAGGACGGCACACCTCTTCCGCTCTGTACGGTCTTTCTTGAACGGTCGGAGAGGTTCATAGCTTCCGTCCTCTCCAACCACAGGAAGTGATGTGGTTGATCCAGCAGTCATCCGAGCATGTGTTTCTGTCTCTAGCCTCAGGAGCTCCTCTTCAATCGCAGCCTCGTCAAGAGGAGGAGGGGGTTGATCATTTCCACCCTCTCCCATACCTCCTTTATTGTCCACAGCGTTCATCCATGGGGGAGGAGGAGGAGCCATCATTTCTCCTTCTCCCGTTCCCCTTTGCTTTTGTCTTTCGCCTTGCCTTTGTCTTTCTTCCCTTTTCCTCTCTCTGCGTCCTCGTTCTTGCTCTTCCCTCCTTTGTAGTCGCTCTTGCCTCCTGCCCACGTCCTCAAGCTGGCCTGCTTGTTCTTGAGCTCTTCGCGAAGTTCTCGATGCGCACTCTTGCTCTCCTCCAGCCCCGCCAACTGACTGCCCTCGGGTGGGGTCAACTCCAGTTTCTGAGCTGATGCCCAGGTCTGTCCATTCCCCACGGCCTCGACACTCTTCAGCCTCTGCATGATTATATCCAGACATAGGGCTGGTTGGCCCCCCAACAACGCGTCTGCGGCTGCGCTCAAGTTGAGGGACTCTCGGCTCAGGGGTGCCGAGAGCTTTGGCGCCAGTATCTGTCGATGATATTGTAAAGCAATAGCTGGAACCGGTCCTTCCCGGGCCTCCACGGGAAGTCCTTGATGTGTCAGCAGCATCTTGGCCATGTTCTCCACCGTGTAGCATGCCAGAGCACCCGGCCCCTTGGTGGCCGCTCGACGGATGCGATGCCCTTCTTCGAAAAGGCTGCCCTCTGCCTCCGCCGACGACGTCTCGCTTGTCGAGCTCCCGGAGCTCCCGGTGCTTTCTCCTCTGGCCTTCTTGCGCATTGCTCTCCGAGCCTTCTTCATCACTCGTTGACGAGATTTCAGCACAGGATCCAGGCCGGTGTGGTTGAAGAGGGAGTCCAAAGGCTTTTTGCCTTCTACCTTCCAGGCCTTGGCCTTTTTCTTCCTCTTCTTCTTTTTCTTTTTCTTCTTTTTGCTTTCTTCCGACGTCGAAATGTCTTCCTCGTCCTCCTTGGCAGCGGCCCCTGCCTCGGCTGGCCGGGGAGCACCCGTCCCTGTTCCTTTTCCTTTTTCCTCCCTCATCTTTCTTGCTGACTCCTCGGCCATCCTCCTGAAAACGTCGGTCTCGCCAGCCTCCTTCAGATTTTGGCTCCATGAAGGAGGGTCGAACTTCAAGAGCCTCATAGCCTTTGCATGTATATAATCGTCTGCTTCGGGGCTTCCCCCACATTCTGGGTGGCATAGATGACATCGCACCAACTTGTCTCCCTGTCCTGAAGCCCAGCGAAGGAAACTCTCGTCCGAGGTTCCGGACACAACGAGGGTAAGTTCCAGTTGTCCACCTTTCGCTGACACCGCAGCCACCTCACCAGTGAAGGAGATGGAATTGCCCCAATAGCTCCCTTCCACGTAGACTTGAGTCCCCGGCAGGAGCTCTCCTATTGGGATCTGATGAACCCCAATCAACCCTCCCGTAGCGAACGTGAGGTCCGCAGGAGGTTCAACCGCCGCCGGTCTTCTCCTCAGCCTCGCTCTATCCGCTCCTGCTTCAATCGCTGCAGCTGGCCTTCTCCGTGGGGGCATCCGCACGACTACCTTCTCCTCTGGGCCAAGAACTCCTTAAAGCTTTGCTGAGTCTTGACCTTCTTCTTTCCCTTGTTTGTCCACGAGTTCTCAGGCTTTTTGCCTTTCTTTTTGCCTTTTCCTTTTCGGCCTCCCTTTCCCCGCCCTTTCTGAGGTGGTGGGCCGGAAGGAGACCGTGGACGCAGTCTCGCCGAACTCGATGTCCCTGGACAGCTGCTTGGCCTTGCGGCCAACGATGACGCCTCCTCCGCGCCTTCTTCCTCAGCCTCCTCTTGACCTTCTTGTTCGACTTTAGGCGAAGCCCTTGTCTTTCTTCTCCGATGCCTTGACCTGCTCCGTGAACGCCTGGACCTTTTCTTCTCCTTCTCTTTCTCTGAGCGAGGAGTCCGATCTCTGGCTGACTCCCTTTCGCCCTTGTCCTCCTCACACTGGGGCTTCGTCTCCTCCTCCTCCAACTCCTCTTCCTCTAACTTGGCTGCTTCTTCAACCCTTTCAGGCCCTTTTGGAAGGGCCTTTGCTGCTGTACTCCTGAGGGCCTTCTCCTCTTCGTTGAAGAACTCGTCACCGTCCTCCTGAGTCTCTTCCTTCACTCGGCGACGTCGACGAAGAGGTTCACGTGTATCACTGGCCTTGTCTCCGGGTCCTTGATCTCCTTCCGGTGCTTTCCTGGGCTCCTCTGAGTTCGCTGCTTCTCCTTCTTCTCTTTCTTTATGCTCGGGCCGCTCAGGGTCTCTAGTACTGCCGTCTGGATCTCTTCCACCTCCTGTCTTCTCTCCCCCTCCCGTGCGTCCCCTGGACGAGGAGGAGTTGGCTCCCTTCCGCCGGATCCACCGGCAAGGAGCCCAGCAGCTCGGGGTGCCGCCCTCGCTGCTGCCAGTCGATCACCGAAGTCACAAAGTTCTCCAGCAACGATCCGCAGCCGGTTGGCCGCGTAATCGACGTAGCCAGGCGAACCACTGAAGTCGTGTATATGCCAGTGGATTCGCCGAAGTGTAGTGCACACCCCACAGCCACAAAGCTGGGGGTGCCCCCACGACATGACACTTTGAGCCGGAGCTGAGGAGGTCAAGACGTTAAGGGGGCCTCGCCTTTAGTTACGGGGCCGTATCAGCATATGTGTGTATGACCATATTTTCCATGGAGAACGAATGACTCAGAAGCTTGAATTTCACCCTGATGAACCCGGAATCGTTTTACATCCAAGAGTGTCCCATCGCCCTTCATGAATATGCATAGCCTAGCTGCATATACAAGAACAATCGTGGATTTTCTTACCTTACAGTGTCTGACCATGTCAAAACCTAGTTGTTCACCTTTCACAACCCGGAGCTTCACATGAGCGGCGGCATTTATTTGCTGCTAACCTCAAATACACTATCTATTGTTTGGGGCCACTATCTCGTTTATATAGACTACTTTAGTAGGAGGGGGCCGTGCTTCGTTCACCAGCGAATACTGATGTTTGACAAACATATAGAGCATGCCGTAGACTACTTTAGTCAACACCAAATAGAAGCGGCCTCGATGGAACGCACCACCTTGCTGGGCGCAGGCCGATCGGCTGCCTAGCCACTTCAGAGGTGCATCGCAGCTTCTCGAGAAAAAATAGACAGAAAGACCGATTCTGAAAGACCCAAAAAGAAACCGCCAATAAAAGCTGCAAATGCAGCCTATATATGCATCCCGATGTACCCTGCTGGAAGACTATGGAAACGCCAAAATGCTTTGCTTTCATATGCGGACCTTTCTTGACAATCACCCCCTACCAGCCAGTGTCCAAACGGTGTGCTATTTTTGACCTCATTTGAGCCCCCAGGCCGGGCCCAACATTTCACGATGCAACATGGGATCCAGACCTCGGTCGAGTCAACAAGTCACGCTTGGTCTTCGAGTGGGGCCTCCGAGCGCAGGGACTTCCAGACAGGACAGGCGCTGAGCCGTCCACCCAGCATGCTGGTATCAACCACCTGACAGCGTCTCTTGAAGCTGACTGGCCGGCGATTAAACATCACTACAACATTAGGAGGGATGAATCCGGGTTGAGCTGACTCAGGACAAGTGCCATGTTGCTTTCACCCTCTGAATCAGGGAGCCCTACCACACCATCATTCCACGAATTGAGGCATCCAGCCATATCTAAGAGCAATATCAAGGTTCTAAGGTTCTCTTGGGGCTTGCACAAAGGAGTGAAAGTCACAAACCCACCCTTTGGCTTCGGCCTCACAGAGTTCCAGATGGTCTTGTTATGACTCTGTGAACTGTAGGAACAAGAAGCTACTAGGGGCTCCTGGCCTTACTACTAGGAACAAGAAGCTACTAGGAGCTATTGGTTTGACTGTTATGACTCCAGGTCATGCCATTGCCCCGCTGATGGCCTGTGCCCCAACTCCCGTCCACCAACTCGTCTACCCCGGACTCCGCATGTCTTGCCTCCACCGCGGTGAGGTCCTTTCCTGCACCGGCACTTTCCATGGCACTAAGCCTCAGGCGGGCCTGAGCGAGTTACATGGAGAGAATCAAACCAACTAGAATCTAGAAGCAAAGTTGCTTTGGTAGGACCTAATATATCACTGTCAACCCAAAGGCAATTCCCATCAAGCTGCTTTTGCCCTTGCCTCTGTTCGGCCAATCGTGAGGTGCAATGCAAGCACTCCAAGGGAGAACATGTCGAAAGAATGCACCTGTAAAGGCGAAAACATGAGAGCACAAGCTGAAGTTGAACAGCACCCAGAATGGACCCAAATAGAAGAAGCCTTCGTCGTGGACATGGTTTTGCCATGTTTTGCCTGCGTATGTGTCCACCGGTCTGTTTGTGGTCAAGCCATGGCACAGGCTCCAAGAAGTTCAGCGGTGGTCCAATGCCTCAGGGCAGAATATGATTGGGTCAGCAGGGAAGGAAGGGTGCCTTTCTACAGAAACAAAGAGGTTTGCCAACTTTGACTTATTCACCACTGAAAACTGATAGATTTCCCAGCACTCTTTCTTCCGTTCTCCAAGAGTTGAGCCCTGCAAGCTCTGTCACTTAGGTGATGGCCGTCTGCAGATATTCGCACTTCCCATGGCAACCTAGTCAGCTCATATGAATTCCAATCTGCATCACCCCGGCATACCTATGTGACCTGGTTTGGTTCGCGTCACAGTCGCAGCTTGCAATCAAAGTCCCTGGCCAATCATACCGCCGTCGCTTTTCCTCCGTCTCGCCACGGCGACGGAAGGCCTTTTCCGGATGAACCGGAATCCACACTTCACAGGACTGAAGTGGGCACAGTGAGTAACCATGCTAAAGAATTTATGAAGGCTTGATGACTTGATGTGTTCCAAACATGGAGTTTCGATTGTCCAGATCACACCCAGTCGACTGGCCGTCGGCACCTGGACTGCGTCGTTGGTGTTCGACCTCAGTGAAAGGTGTCGTGGTGTCGTTGCTGCGGCGACGGCGGCCGCGACAGCGCTCCGCTGGGCCAGCGACTGATGACAATCTTCACCCGTGATCATTACACCAAGATCCAAAACCTACAAGAACAAAAATCATGATTCCAAACAAAAATAAAGAAGCCTGGCCAAGCACCACTATCCTCGTGGCTTTCAAGACTGAGAGATTGCTCTCACACTCGCAGCATACTGGGATAATCTGTAATCTACCAGTACGTCAATCTACTACCTGCACCAAACCCACAAAAGGTTGCAGTCCAACCAAGTCCTCCCACGAGTAGCATAGCAATTGACTTTCACATCACTGTGAGCATTGATGTTCTAAATGGTTTTCAGTGGTCCAAAGTCCAAACGTGCCAGATCTTGTGCAGCAATCACTCGGGCAGAGGCTTGCCTTCAAAACACACTCGCCATCGTTTACTGCCCTTTCAGCCAAGTGCATGTTGCCTCGTTGTGAGCGTGAAGGGAGTTCTGATGCACAAAAATAAACTACAGTAAGAATAAGAATCTGTACAGGTGCTGAATTTGATTGAGTTGGGCGCTAAGACAATATCACGAAGTGGGAGGCATACACTTCAAACGCATCTACATGCTCTCATATGTCAATGGTTTTTGATTCACATTATGTAATGTGCAATACCGCCATTGGACTGGAAACTTAGCATCCCCCCGAAAATGCTAGAGTCTAGTGTCGCATCGCCACAAGTACGAAAATGTTTGTGGATGCAGGCCGCGCCCCAAAACAACTGTATATACGTAGTGAGGAACTCAATACTCAGAATGCGAAGTTCCAACAGTGGGTTGCCCCCACTCAAACTTGACTCTAACTCAGCGTGTGTGTGTGTGTGGGTGTGTTTTTGACATTCAAAACCCAGGTAAGCTTACAAATTGAATCATAAATTTGAAAATAGACCCAGTTCCCAACCACATGTCCGAAAACTAAATGTTGAAACATATCTTTAAACTTTAAACAAAATACACATTGTCGAATGAACTTACACTTGACCCGTTCGATGCATGCCCACTTGGATTCACTTGGTCTCCCTGCAACCACGGAAGTCTCGGTGAATGAGCCCGAAGGTTGCCAAATACCTCGGGTCAAGACACAGGGTCCGTGTCCGTTTCCGAGTCTTGCTATGCAACATCAGATCTAGGATGCTCGGATGCAAGCTCCAGCGCTCGAGCAGATTGTATCAAGACCTGAATGCTTTTAGGGAGAACGCTGCTGAATAGCAATCAAGTAAAACAAAATTTGCAAGCAACTGCACTTGAAGTCTGATCATAGAAACCGATCCATCACAATATAAATGCTAGGTATGTGCAGGAATCTGCTCCAGTTGACTTGAAGGGGTCGTTTCACCATACCTGGGAATAGCATGTTCCTTTGAAGTTGGTGCTTTGGTTTCAATGCCGCGCCTGGCGCTTTTCTTGCACTGTCATGGGGGCTGGATCCTTTGGTCCAACATGGCTCTTGTCACGATGGAAAGTGCTCTCAAAGCTGCTTCTAGTAGAGAACATTGCTCCTAGTAGTAATGCCAGGAGCCCCTAGTAGCATCCTTGCTCCTAGTAGCGATGCCCTTTGCTCCTAGTAGCGTCCTTGCTCCTAGAGCCAAGAAAAACCTAGAATGGCCGGGGAAGCCCGGTTGCAACCACGGCGCCCGGACCCTATATACCTTAGACAGGACCTCCCGAAAAGCCATATCTTTAACAATCATACTATATCATATTATTACAATATAAAGAACAAGAAACTCCCGCGCCATTCAGGAACAAAAGAACCATGAAAGGTCAAACTAGGTGAATTAGTGACCGGTGCACCAAGCCACGCTGAACTGACTCGACTCGACTGCGGTGTGTTTCATACCCAATCCTTGCCAGCATGCTTTGAGGGTGTGCGCCTCACGAACGGAGAAATCGAAAGCAGCGTTTCCACATCTTGCCAGAAGTGGGACAGCCCCTGGGAGTCACGGATAGCCACCTTGCGTAAACACATCTTGCTATCCCAGCCAACTCCAACCAAGTTTGCACAAGTATGCACAAGTACGTTTCAATTCAAAAGCACCGCCGGGCATGGCCACAGTTTCAGCATGGACGCGTACCACTCACGGTCCATGGCCACGTGCAGGGGTTCCCCTTCAACCTTGGACCGGTACAAACTCTTTCTCGAGAGATGTTCGACTCGAGTGTTCAAACATGTTTGTACTGAACTGGATTCAAACCGCAAAAACAAGCAACATCGACAGACCACAAAAACTCTGTGAGATTCAGTTGTGACATTTGCTGCAGTGAAAACTGCAAATGTTTGCAGTTCATTCCTTGAATCGAACACTCAAACCTCCGTATGAAAGCTGCTTTTAACGTGTTTCTTCTTGCTGTGAAAGTGGTACAGTATACATTGTATATGCAAAGCGTGCATTCGATTCACTTGCCTTTGTCCACAAGGAATTACAACTAAAAAACTCCATGTGCTGTAGGCATACAAACATGTCCCAGCATGCTTCTTGGGGCACTGCCAGTTCCATGACCACATAGGGTGCAGCCACAACCTTAGGCCTCACATGGTCGTTTTAACACCAATATATATATAATTGAAATATAATATAATATAGTAAATTATACATAGTAAAATACAATATAGTATAGTACAGTATAGTATAATATAGTATAACATAGTATAGTATATTATGATATTATATATTGTAATATAGTAAAATAATATAACATAATATAATACAATATTATATAATACAAAAATATAGTATAAAATAATATAAATATAGTATAGTATAGTATATTTGATGCTATAATATAGTATAATCTAATATAATATAACAAAATAAAGTCTATTATGATATAGTATAGTATGATACAGTATAGTATAATATAATATAGTGAAGTATAATATATTGTAACAAAATAACATCTAGGATAATATAGTATAATATAACTAATATAGTATAGTATAATATATTTTATATCAATATAATATATTGTAATATAGTATAACATAATATAGCATACTATAATATAGCATAGTATAGTATAACAAAAAAAACTATTATAGAATATTACAATATATAATATAGTATAATACAATATAATATACTTCAAGAACCCTAAAGTTTATGCTTCTTACTCTGTTCCAACATGAGACTTGCGGTCTACAGCGGATCGGATTGACACGTCCATTTTGCCTGGCAGGTACAGCACGGTCAGATTTTCACACCCGTTTAAATTTATAATACTTAGAAGGCTTTCAGGTGTGGAAATCTGACCGCAACTTAGGTGTCGACATGTTGCACATAGGATTCTAAGGGGAAAGGGTTTGTCCAGTTTTAGAAGTCAAGAAGCGCAACTTTCGGCACCCCAGTGTAGTATATATAGTATAGTATAGTATAGTAATATAATATAGCATAATATAATATAGTATAGTATAACATAATATAATATAGTAAAATATAGTATAGAATAGTATAGTATAATATATTATAGAATAGTATAGTATACTATAATATAGCATAGTATAGATTAATACAATATAAGAAAAATAGTATGGTATAATATACCATAGCATACTATAATATAATATAGTATATAGTATATTGTAATATAGAATAATATAGTATAGTATAGTATAGTATAGTATGATATAGTAA